AAAACATTGATTTCCACGAAGGGCGTGTGTTCAAAAGTTAATATATATAGGTGTTGTTATGACTCTTATGGAATCAAATAAAAGAAAATAGAAATAATCTAACTGTTTCAATTGACAAAATTGACAATATAGACAACTAACAAAACATATAGATAACTATTTACAATAAAGGATATATATATATATATGTATAAATATATTATTTAGAAACATGAGCAGCAATTTTTCTTTCAAATAGAGACTGGAACCTAATTCCTCTGATTTCTTTAGGCACTGAGTTCCATATTTTTGCCCCATTAAACATACAACCCTTTTTCATGCTGTTTGTGCGGGGCTGTGGCAAAACGAGTGTTGTTTCATTGTCACGCAGACAGTAATGTGTATTCTCATTCTTGTAGGTAAAAAGGTCTGTTATAGGCTTTTAGGCCCAGACATATTCAAAATTTTGAACATTAATTTTGCCTTAGCTTTAGTTCTTTGTACTTTTAGTGTCTCCCATCCTAACGAATTTAATGCGATTTGGGCATTAACTTCGTTACCCATGTCCATAATAATTCGAGCGCATCTATTTTGAAGTTTTTGTAATCGTTGTGATTGAGTTTCACCAAAAATGTCCCACACTTCACAACAATAAGTAAAGTATGGTTGTACAATTGCGTTAAATATAGAAACAAGTGTATCACGGTCAACAAATTCTTTTAGTTTTCTAATAACAGAAATGGCCGATGTGATTTTCTTACAGATACTCTCAGTGTCACTTTTCCAAGAGAGATGCTAATCAATCCTTCACTTGTTTAATTGGTCTGTTTTCAATCATTATGTTTAAATTTGAATCTGAAACAGTATGCACAAGAGATCTTGATCCTATGAGCATAAATTCAGTTTTGGCAATGTTTAGACTCAGTTTGTTCGCGTTTAACCACATTCTGAGGTTTTCCAAATCAGAGTTCACTGCATTTTCAACATCATCAATTGTACCACCGGAAGCAGTGAGGTGAGGTTTGTGTCATCTGCAAAAAGTCTTGGCTTTGTCCTATTTAGGCTTTCAGATAAATCATTTATGTATATTAGGAAAAATAAAGGACCTAAAATGGAGCCTTGTGGAACACCACACTTAACTTTGTGTTCAGACAAGACAACACCATTTACTTGGCATTTTTGGGTGCGATCAGTAAGATATGATCTCAACAACAAATGTGCCTTATCCTTAATACCGTAAATTTGCATTTTCTCAAGTAGAATTTCGTGATCTACGGTGTCAAATGCTTTTTTTAGATCTATAAAAACTACTAAGTTAAACATTTTTCGATCCATGTTAACATACCAACTATTTGTTGAATCTAAAAGGGACGTAGCGGTGGAGTGAAACTTTCGAAAGCCAAATTGGTTATCAGAGAGAATTTCGTTTTTAGTTAACTAATCATACAGCTGATCATACAGTAATCTTTCCATGATTTTGCTTATGACTGGTAGTATCGATATTGGCCTGTAATTACCAGGAATATTACGATGACCACTTTTATAAAGAGGTAAAACTCTAGCTACTTTCCATTCATCTGGAAAGCTGCAAAGAGTAATACTTTGATTAAAAATATATGTAAGTGTAGCAGAAATAACTGGTGATGCTAATTTAAGAATTTTACTGGAAATTTTGTCAATACCACATGCTTTTTTACAAGACAGCCCTCTTAAAAGATCAAAAATTTTGTTTACCGCAATTGGTGTAAATGCAGTGAACTTGGATTCAGAACTTTTAGTATACTTTTGAAAGTCACAGCTAGATTCATCCAACTTGCTTGCCAAGTTTGGTCCAACATTTGCAAAGAATTCATTTAACCCTTCTGCAATCTCTGTAGGATTTGTTAATTTAGATTCATTAATAATTAGTTCATTAATAATCGTGGGTTTCTTACCCTTTCCGATCAAACTATTAATAGTTTTCCAAGCCTGCTTTGGATTGCACTTTTGGTTAGCAATCTTTTTAGAATAATAGTCTGTTTTGGCTTTCCTTAATTCGGTATTTGTTTGATTTCTGGCTGTTTTATAAATGAGCCAATCAGATTCTTGTTTAGTAATAATTGCTTTTCTTTTCAATTTATCTCTTTCGGTTATGAGCATTTTAATTTTGCTTGTAAACCAAGGGACACTTTTTGATTTTATCTTTTTGTTTTGAAGTGGTGCATGCTTATCCAGGACCTCTAAAAAGACTTTTTTCCACATCTCCCACATAGTATTTGGATTATCTGGAAAATAATAAATATGATCCCAGGGTTGATTTTGCAAATCCTTAAGAAAATTTAGATCATTGAATTTCTTCATGTTTCTAATTTCAACAATATTTACATGACGTTTTACTGAAAAATTTATTTTTCTTATTGCGAAAATCATGCTATGATCACCAATTCCAGTATGTATTACCCCAGAGTCAGAAATTTTCTCTGGTCTATTTGTAATAAAATGATCAATAAGGGTGGATGTTGATGATGTTATGCGCGTAGCTTCATCAATCATTTGTGACAATTGATAAAGTTCATATATGGATTTGAGTTTTTTAGTTAATTGGTCTGGATTTGTCTTAAGTAAATCACAGTTTAAATCACCAAGAATGTGAATTTCTTTGTTTTCATCATCTATTTTTTTAATGAGACTTTCTAAATCGGTAAAAAATTCGGATGACGGATTTGGAGGTCTATAAGCTGTTACTACGACGAACGGCTGACTTTGAGGCTTAATGATTTCAATACAAACAGCTTCAAGATTTTTAGGCACTAGATCATGTCTAATCCGATAATTAATGGAGCTACGCAAAATACATGCAAACACCACCTCCACTTCTTGATCTATCTTTTCGGATGATATCATAACCATCGATATACATTTGATTATCTGAAATTGATGAATCAAGCCTTGTTTCATTAAATGCGATTAAATCAATGAATTTGTTTGACAATGAAAAGCTAATTTCATCATATCGTTTTGGCAAGCTAACAACATTTAAAAAGGCCATTTTAAAGCCTCTTTCATTAGGAATAGAATTAATCTCATTGAAACAATTGCTGCTCCTGTTTTGGGTTAAATAGCAACTATCATTAATATTTATTTCTTCATTATATTGGTTACTAGCTTCAGGTGATCTGACCATTCCTTCATTCGATGGCCCAGTGCAAGCCGAAAAAAAGGCTTATTTTTGCCATGCAGCTTCTGATTTTGAACAGCATTGCGGCTAATTTTAACTAATTTTAGGTAAGAGCAAAATTTCTTGCCCAACAACTTGTCTCCATTTTTGTTCAAATGGAGGTTGGATCTATTGAGATGGGATTGATCTATCTCGCTGTTATCTAAAAATGCTACTTCATACCTCTTGCACAAGATGAGTAATAGGTTATTTGCTTCCTCAATTTTTTGGTTGGATAATTTACCATCAAATCTTTTTACCACACTTGACACCGCAACATCACTTGAATGGATTTTTGCCACTTTTATAAGACTTTCCATACGTTGAGCAACTTGATGTGGACTTTCATTGACCAGGTTGTTGGTTCCTGCATGGATAATTACTGCTTCATAATTCTGACTATCATCTGACCAATGTTCCTTGATCTTTTCTTCAAGATGTTGTATTCTTGCTCCACTATAAGAGTGACACTGGGTCGATTTAGTTTTGGCCGCTCTGGATATTTTTAAATTGTCAATATTCTTGACCATGGAGTCACCAATGATGAGTACTTTTTTCTGTTCTGATGGTGACTGATTATTTGGGGGACATTCACTATGGCTATCAACACTTGACGTATTTTGATCTGTTTTTCGCAATTTTTTGACAAACTTAGATGACTGTGAATTACGGTAATCTTTAATTTGCCCTTGAAATCCACTATCTGAGCCACTGTCCGAGGTATTGACTGGTATTTCGTCATCTTCAACAGTCAATGCATCAAAATGATTAAAGGTGGAGAGTCCCTGTTGTGGAGAGTCAGGAACAGGCACTTGGTTACAATGGTTTGAAGATTTCGCTTTGATCCAGACATTCTGTTTCATATCAAATGTCTTTTGAATTAGTTCATTGTCAAGCTTCACCTGCTCTAGGGTCACTTTCATATTATCAAGTTCACTCTCCAATTTCCTGTTTTTGTTAATAAGCATGTGGATTATGCCATCTTGGCCTTCGATTAATTGGTATTTATTTCTCTCAATTTCGAGTTCGCTTTGCTTAGTTCCAACTACGCTATAAAGCGACAATAATGAATCTAGCTTAAGTTTTATTTCATCCAATTCTTCTCTGTGTTTTTGGCAATTATTGCAATTCGATGACATGTCGGATTGATTTACAGACTCGTCGTTGGCATTTTCAAATTCCATCGCAACATGTTCATTATCCTCGCCGCTATACTCGTCAGCATGTTTCCTAAGCATTTCGGCTAGATACAACTCTTCGTTGTCAGTTACAATGACAATTTTCTTCTTGGTAGTACCATACCATTTGAACGCGAAGGTAGGATTTGTGAACAATTTCACTTCGCCGCCGGGTGACGACCATTTCCCGTTTGATAGCTGAAGGTCATTCTGAACAAATTCCTTTAATTCATCTAAATTTCCATCCCAGACAAATTCGTTGCAGTTCAAATGTAACCTTGGGGTTACTAGAGATTTTTGTGTGTTTACTTCGCTGATAGAATCAGAAAAGCTTTGTATAATTTGTGAATTTGAAGAGCTAGACAAATCAAGTGCTACCGCCATATTGAGAGTTTTAGTATGATACCAATGGACAATATTTGCCGATGAATAATATGAAGTGCAATTATCAAATAACTAAAATGATGCAAATAATTTCACTTCAAACTATTAACCTATTCTAAGATCAAAGACAACGATGACGAATAAATAGCTCAATGACCTTTCTTCAAGGATACAGTCCTCACCTCTTTTAATTACACTCTTTCTGAACTATCTACTTAATTCGACTTATAATACATCTGAAAATTCACAGGGATAACATAAACCTGTTATTTCCTAATGCGTGATTCAAGAACATTACTCGCTACCGTAAATAAACAAAGGCGAAATTTCGAATGTACTCCGCTCGTTTGAGTTTTTTTATTCCCAGGACGTCATGAGTTTGATCTTACAAAAGAAATGTACGTATTTTATGCTACATTGTAATAATAAATGACATTGTTGGGTCATATGAATCATATCAACAAATAAGCTCACACTTGCCTTCAACAACATGCGTTGAAAAAATATAACCTTTAGAAATGCTGACAAATATATGTTTGCGCAAATAATTTTAATTACATACCAATATTAAATTGCGCGTTGGCGTTTCTCCGTTCACATTTGGGTCGACATTATCTGTGCGTCGTGATATTTGCCTTGCGCTGGTATGACGAGACTACAGTGCAACCAGACTGAAAAACACCGTGAGTAGTGTATTGTCAATTGTAAGCATCGACGCCCGGTAAGCTGTGAAACAAAATCTGGAATCTGGAATCTTGGAATCTTGGTCGTGATATTTGCCTTGCGCTGGTATGACGAGACTACAGTGCAACCAGACTGAAAAACACCGTGAGTAGTGTATTGTCAATTGTAAGCATCGACGCCCGGTAAGCTGTGAAACAAAATCTGGAATCTGGAATCTTGGAATCTTGGAATCCTGGAATCTTGGAATCCTGGAATCTTATCATATAACCGCAAAATATGTTATTATCAAGATATTATTATTATACTTATGCAACATATTGTTCTGCATGCGATAATTTAATCAAAGCAGACCTTGGTAATATATTTTAAAGTATATACTATACGTTTTTAGTATGTCTGTCTTGATGCCAATACATAGTAATAATGTAATATGTCAACGCTGTGCGCGCATCTAAATAATATCGTCGGTTTATGATGAGAGTTAATTAAAATCAAGTGCAACTAAAGAAACCATATACAATTGCCGAGTTCATATAGTCTATTATCAACCAGTGGCGAAGCCAGCGTCGTGTGAGTGGTCATGCAAACGAGCGCCGAAGGCGTGAGACATCCTAGGGGGGTCGGGGGGCATGCCCCCCGGAAAATTTTTGAAATATATACCCCAGAAACGCCATTTGCAGCAATCTGAGCATCAAATTTCAGAAAATAGCTTGATCTAATGACGGGAAAATATGTGGATATTTTGGCATATTTCAGACAACAATAATGAAGATCGACACCAAAATAGGAAATCTGTGGTCTGCAGTTCCGCTAATTATAGTCATACCGGCAATTGTGCATTTCTTTTCGATCAGAAAATATTACATGCATGTTCTGTATTATCATCGTCTGTATAGACTACCTAATTTTCAATTGATTACTTTGATATGCTATCCCCTTGTAGTATTCCAACGTGAAGTCTGAAGAGTTTTCACATTTCCAGAACTAGATACAATTTTATCCACATATACTAACGGAACATAATGACAAATAGCTGCTAATACAGTCAGTATAATCTAGAATATAGGTATAATATGCAGGACTTGGAAAATATAACGCATGAGCCTTGATCAATTTCCTTAATTTAAAATCAATCGCCCAATCATTACAATATTACATACAGAAATGAATTAAACATTATCAGATGTTTCAGTAGAAGACGTAGAAGTTTTACTGTCAGTTTTATAGCCGAATTCTGCATTCATATCGATTATTGGCTATTGCCAATATTGGATATTTTCGAACGCACGGGGAGTATGTACCAAATGGTAAATACAATTTAACAATATATATTGAAATTTCTTTGTTTGTTTCACAAACAAGTATATATCAAATATATTGCTAAATCACAATCGCTAAAATGTTTGTGTTGCGTGTCGAAATGTATAAGCTTTGCAGCGCTATTTATAGAACTACATTGTTTACTACATTGACCTCGACATTGACATTGTATTTCATATAGTATATAGCGTTCGATGCTTTATACGCCTATGCTCGGGTTGAAGGCTTAAATATTCAAGACAAAATACATGTAACAATAACTAAATACCAATAGGCAATAGCTTATTTAGCCTAAGCCTGACTGGCTAAGCCATTCTTTCTTTGAATACCACGACATTTGAAGACCTTCCCGATCGGGCATGTCGAAAGATCTGGCGTTTGTCTCTGCTTATAAACAATATTCTGCTCAGCAGAAAATGGTTTCTTCACCAATTCCCAAACAATATCGTTAGCTTCGAGTAAAGAAGAAGTCGACATGCTTGAATGAGCTGAAGACGTGTTCATTCAGGCTGAAAGCTTCGAGCTAAGAGGCTGTGATCAGGTTGTGTTGCCCGTTTAGTCATGCAAATCGAAAATTGCATGACCAAGGCGTCAAAAACAGCCGCATTGCGCGTGCGCGAACGTCGTAAGCCAATCAGAAACCAACAAACCTAATATAAAATAATACAGCTGGTCATGAAATTCTGAAAGTGCATGACCAAAACACACAGCAAGCAAACCACGCAGCAATCACACGCAATCTTTTTCCACGCGCTTACGCAACCGGTCATGCATGTGAAAATATGCAGGACCGCTCAGTTGCCAAGGTAACAAAGCCAAAATCAATAACATACGAGAATATTTAGCAAGAATATCGCCTAAAGACCATTGATTTGGGTAAACAAAATAATAAATAAAATACTTAGGCGTAGAAGTGCAAAGATAAAGTATAATTATATTGTAAACAATTATACTGAACTGATTTTTAAACATTTTGGGGGAAATTTTTAGTCATGCACTGCATGACCTGCATGACCGCTGGCTTCGCCACTGTTATCAACGAATTAAGGTTATATAGGCCTACCACGTGCTGTATAACTCACATAGTATGAGCCTCATTAACCACGTGCTATTATAACCTTAGTTCGTTGAATATAGACTATATGAATTTGGCAACTGTTCACAAGTGTGCTATATATATATTGTATATGGTTTCTTTAGTTGCCTCCCGCCTGGTCATCTTGCTACGCACTTAATTTTAACTCTCATCATAAACCGACGATATTATTTAGATGCGCGCACAGCGTTTACATTATTATGTATTGGCATCAGGATAGACATACTAAACTCTGCAACGTATAGTATATACTAATATATTACCAAGGTCTGCTTCTGATTAATTAAATTATCGCATGCAGAACAATATGTTGCATAAGTATAATAATAATATCTTGATAATAACATATTTTGCGGTTATATGATAAGATTCCAGGATTGCAAGATTCCAAGATTCCAAGATTCCAGATTCCATGTTTTACAGCTTACCATCGACGCCCTGGGATAATCCGATCCAAGCCAATACAATATTCTTTCCAATACTTCTACTCCTGGGTATTAAAACACAGATTATCACACAATTGTTTTTGCTAGGAAATTTATATTATTTTACTGCAATTCATACAAAGTGAACTCAATTTCCTCTAATCTTCAAAGACAAATATGATCTTACTATGCTGTTGCCAGCGGTGAATAATTGCAGCAACATTTGCTTGTCAAACTCCCAGTGTGAGATGGTTTGCTGATATTCACCAGTAATATACCCCGGTTAATTATCGTTAAAAGTAAGTTTACAATGATAGTGCATGCGTTATCATGCCATAACTAAAACAGGACCTCACCTCACGCATCTTATGACTTCCTATAGTAACAAAACTAACAAAACGGAAATACATTACACATTTGATGTGAAACATATTTCGTGTTTTATTAAGTAAAATAGCCAATCAATGTTCGTCATATTTTTGCCATTACATTCCTTCGATGACAGGTTTACTGTTGGTAAAACATGAATGACAAACATGTGCTGCCCCATGAATGGCAAACATGACAAACATGTGCTGCCCCATCAGAAGAATAATTTACAGAGCAGTAGGAAATCAGAAAGCTTGCAGGTCGACAGGTTGTCCTGGTGCGTTGTTGAGGTTTTATTGAAACTAACAAGATTAACTTTATTGGGAAATTAAAACCTGTGAGAATGTTTTTGAGCCACTCTCATCATTAAAACCGGGAAATGGCGTCGTTATCTTAAACAGGGATTATTATTTTTCTATTAAAAATGGACTCTATTCAGTGATACAACTAAATGTGCAAGTCACACTACAATTAAGTAATCATTGTTCTGTATGTTTACTTTAACCATTGGCGGCGCATTCTTTCGAATGAATGAATCAATGAATGAATCATTGATGAACACTGACTTAACATGGAATGATCATATTGATTTAATTACGAAAAAAGTTATAAAATCTACAGGAATAATATCCAAAATTCGACATTTCACAAATTTTAATACTCTTAAACTAGTCTATTATGCTTTAGTTTATCCTTATTTAATATACGGAAATTTGATTTGGGGAAACACATATAAAAAATGACTACAAAAATTAATAAACATTCAAAAAAAAAAATACGAT